TCCCCTCAGCAGTGTACTTCGGTCCTTCTACCTGCTCTGCTCCCTGCTCTGGCTCTGGTGAATTCTCTCACCCTCCTGTGCTTCTGACTGCACCCAGTGCTTGTATAAATAAATAAATAAATCTTAAAAAAAAAATTAAAGTCGCTAACACGCGATCATTTATAATGTGGCAGACATAAGCACACTACTTTCTGGTCTTGCCTCTCTCTGCAGGATACATTCTGGTCTGATTCCACCTTCTGTTCTCTTTCAGTTGTCATACTCTAACCTGTCTAGGAGTCAGAGATGATTAAGTCTCACCTAATTCTGTCATGCAGTGACTTCAACCAATTCCACCTGGCTGACAAGGCCACATGGAAAAACGAAACCTCTCATCTGCCTGTAATCTTTGCTCCTAATCCACAGGCACTTCCTGAACAAAGAGTAAAGAATCTCTGCTGCTACATTAATTAAACTTGTTAAGAAGCAACAAGCTCAGAGTGTTACAGGCCCCACCCATTTAATTAGTGGCTAAATTCAATCGCATGTCTAGGTTGATCCAAACAATGCATTTGAAGTCTCCCTATTTAATATATCTTTCATTACTAATACAAACTGTTGGGTAGAGGTAACTTCGTTTTCAATGGTAAAATTAAACTGTATTCTTTACATGGAATTCTCCTTTGACATAGGTTCAACTTAATAAGTAATTATTAAAATTAAAGTCGCTCACTAACACTCGATAATTTACAATGTGGTAGGTACTACTTTTGGCATTTTAAAGTATTAACTTATTTGATAGTCACACCTACCATATCTCATTAGGGGTCACTAAACAAAAAAAAAATCTGGGGCACAGAAAGGTTAATTAACATGCTCCCAATGGCAGAATAGGGATTCAAACTCAGTTTATTAAGGATTGGTCTAGGTCCCTTCTATTAAATTTTATTATTATTTTATTGTTGTTAATTTGTTTTTTCTTTTCTTTTTATTATTATTTTATGTATATTTTTACATCATTCTTTATTTTTATACAATGCATGCTTTATCATCTTGGGTAGTCCCCGTGGAATTCCCACCACCAGTTCACCCATGCACCATCACCATAGTCCCTAACAGCTTGAGATATAATTCACATACCTTACCCACTTAAAGCATGCAGTTTAATGGATTTTAGTATATTTAGCTGTGAAACCATCACATTTAATATTAACACATTTTCATCGCTCCAAAAAGAAACTCTACAGACATGAGCAATAACTTCCTATTTTTCCCAACCATCACCCTCACCTCTAAGGCAGTAACTACTCTACTTTTTATCTCTATAGATTTGCCTATTCTAGACATTTCTTATCTACAGAATCATACAGTATGCCATCTTTTGAGTTTGACTGCTTTGACAACATAAAGTCTTCAAGGTTCATTCATGTTGCAGGAGAATATCAGAAACTCCTTATTTCTTTTTTTTAAAGATTGATTGAAGATTTATTTATTTATACAAGCACTGGGTACAGTCAGAAGTGCGGGAGGGTGAGAGAATTCACCAGAGCCAGAGCAGGGAGCAGAACAGGCAGAAGGACTGAAGTACACTGCTGAGGGGAGCAGCGGACGGCAGGAGAGCTCTGTGCGCCATGTGGGACACTCAACCTATGGCCGGGGATCTAACCAGCGCTGCAGAGGCTGCGGACAGCTTCGCAGCCCAGCGCTCAACAGCTGCGCCACCGGGGAGGCCCAGATTTATTTATTTATACAAGAGCTGGGGTACAGGCCAGAGGAACGGGACGGTGAGAGAGTTCACCAGAGTCGGAGCAGAACAGGCAGACCGAGCAGCGGGCGCGACAGGAGAGGTCTGCCACGCCAAGTGGGAATCTCCCTGGCCGGCTGGGAATCAAACCCGTGCTGCAGAAGCTGCAGGCAGCTTCACAGCGCTGCGCTCAACCTGCTGCGCCACCAGGGAGGCCCAGAAACTCCTTTTTTATGGCGAATGATATTCCATTGTATGGATTTACCACCTTTTTTAATCTATTCATCATTTGATGGACAGTTAATTGTTTCTACTGTATAGGTGTTATGAATAATACTGCTGTGAAAATTTATGTGTTTTTGTGTGGTCATGGTTTCATTTCTCTGGAGTATACAAGTTTGGAGTGGAATCGCCGGGTTAATTGATGTTTAGCCTTTTTAGTAACTGCCAAACTGTTTTCTACATCCACTGTACCTTTTTAAATAACCACCAGCAGCATATGAGAGTTCCATTTTCTCCACATCCTCCTCGACACTTGTTATTATCTGTCTTTTTAATTATAGCCACCCTAGTGGGTGGGAAACAGTATCTCATTGTGGTTTTGATTTGCATTTTCCTGATGTGTACTTACGTTGATCATAATTTCATGGGATCACTGGTTATTTGTACATCTTCTTTGGATGTATCCATTCAGATCCTCTTCCTATTTTTAAATTGGGTAATTTACCTTTTTATCATTGAGTTGTAAAAGTTCTTTATATTTTTGTATCTTGTATATCTTTATAGATACAAATCCCAGATTATAAATGATTTGCAAATATTCTCTCCCATTGTGTGGGTTGACTTCTCACTTTCTTGGTAACATGTGAAGCACAAACTTTTAATTTTGATGATGCTCCATTCATTTTTTTTTTCTTTTTGCCTATTCTTTGGTTGTCATATCTAAGAAGAGGCTGTCCAAATAGAAGTCAAGGTCACAAAGAACTACTCCTGTATTTTCTAAAAGTTTGCAGTTTTAGCATTTAAACCTAATTGGTATCTTTTCCCCAGTTGCAAATTAATACCAATTAATACCACAATGATAGCACACACACAACCACCCTGTTTCCTTCTTTCATGCCCAAGTGCTTTGGTGGTTTAGATCTAATCTACAGTCAGAAATTACTTGTTTATGGAAATATCTTTTCTGGTATTGAACCTAGGCTCACCTATGAGTTGTCATAGGTTTCTCGTGACACAGTTAAGGATATGTCTAAGCATAAAGCTCCTCTCCATGCATTCTATGACCATAACTAGAGTATATGCATAATTTAAAGTTAAGAAATCTTTACAATCAGATACATAAGGCCTAAATCTTTGAAAATATAAATTGTTTTAATTATAACTACTGAGACATAGCCACAAATTTTTTTGTAAGATTCCTGTCTTGCTCCTAAAGTTACCGTGACAAAGAAACTATAGTTTAAGTAGTAGAACTTAACTCAACTAAGATTTACTGATCTATTTATTGATCTATCATATGCAAAACATTGTTAAAGTGCTAAGATGGTTTCTGACCTTAGGGAGATTATAATTGAGTGGGGACAAAAATAAAAAAAAACAGAAAAACTAATAGTCTTCTGCAGGCCCCTTCTCTTCTGAAGGAATTAGTAAGGGTACAGCTCCCTAATTCTGAGGTACAATAAAATCTTTATTCTGCCATCTAGGTGCTCTAGCTATAAACTATAGAGATAGACCTGAAAGGCTACATGAAAATTATACTTTCATTAAAAAAATGATATATGTAGGGCCTCCCCTGGTGGCGCAGCAGTTGAGCGCTGGGCTGTGAAGCTGCCCGCAGCCTCTGCAGCGCCAGTTCGATCCCCGGGCCACTGGTGAGGATCCTACATGGCGCGACAGACCTCTCCTGCAGCTCCCGCTGCTCCCCTCAGCAGTGTATTTCATCAGTCTGCCTGTTCCATTCCCTGCTCTGGCTCTGGTGAATTCTCTCACACTCCCGTGCTTCTGACTGTACCCAGTGCTTGCATAAACAAATAAATAAATCTTAAAAAAAAAAAAAGATATATGTAAGGAAACTTGGCAAGCTGATGGAAATCCCATGTAATGTGAAAGTCTTTGTGTAAGGCAAATGATACTCTTCCTCACTTGAATCTTTGCCTTCTCAAAACAGGAACCCCCACTCTCTTCCCTGTGCTTTGTACCCGATGGTTCCATCATTTGGTTTTTTTGATTACCAAATAGTTTTCTGTGGGGCTCCTTTTTAATATATAGTTTTTGAGTTATATCAATACCTGATAGCTTTGAAAGTCTAAATAAAGCTAAATGTGAATCTGCTTTCTAGTTTCACCTGATAATTAGTTTCTAGTTACTTCTTGAGGCATCTTGACCCCGAATCTATCTTTCTCTGTTCTCGTCCCTTCTCATTCCCCACATCTGGCTAGAAAATTCTGATTTTCTAGGTCAAATGGATTCTAGGTCAAATCCATGTTTATTTGATAGAATTAAAATTATGTGCTCTTGGGGCCTCCCTGGTGGCACAAGGGTTTAAGCACTGCAATATGAACCAATCTGCAGCCTCTGCAGCACGAGTTAGATCCCCGGCCAGCCAGGGAACAACCCACATGGTGTGGCAGACCTCTTCTGACTCGCCCCGCTGCTCCCCTCAGCAGTGTATTTCGTTCAGCCTGCCTGTTCTGTTCCCTACTCTGTCTCTGGTGAGTCCTCTCATTCACCCCCCTGCATCTCTGGCCTGTACCCCAGCTCTTGTGTGCATAAATAAATAAATCTTTAAAAAAAATTATGTGCTTTTATACTAGAAAGAGAAGTTGAAGAATATTTTGGCTGAGTTGTGTGGTTTATCCATAATACCACATTTGGGTTTAAATTATTTCATCAGTCAGTCAAGGGCTGCCAAAATTGTCAGTGGTTTCTAGTCACGGTCAATAAAGTTAAGAAAAAGCACATTATTTACTTATCTTCATGACTAAGCAAGTTTTGACAGGAGGTGCTGGGAAGTTGCTTCAACAACTTAAAAAATGCACAAAAAAGTACCAGCAACAAAGGCAATTGGTTCTGTCTAGGTGCTGCAAAATAATCACTAAGGTGGTAAAAGGAACATTTTGGTTGCAAGCAACTGTATCAGCTACTAACTACTGTTAAATATAGCTTCTATGTAATTAAATACTATTGTAGTTACCGCAAATAATAAAATTCTCTTTCAAATTCTTAAGCAGATTTGAAGTTACATGGATATTTTATTTTTTACCTTTATTCTTACCTTGTGGCAACAAGAGGGTAACTATGACATGGTGATGCCCAGGCATCTCTTGTCCATGGCATACAGTCATAAAGGAGCAAATCCTTCTCAGTCACAGCCATGAGCACTGGTCTCCACTGTTGTCTTCCACCATCTAGTTTTGCCTGTTTCAATGGTGAAATCCAAAATGCAGAAAAAATTATAAATATAAAAATATAAAAAAATATAAAGATGTCTAATTGTAAAAGTCTATTCACTGATGATCTAACATAATGGGTCTCCACTTTATTTCCCCATTTGAGGTCCTGGAAACACCCCATTTCGTTCCTTCCCACTAGTGGGGATTCTCCACTGGGAGGTGTGAGATGAAATGCATAGCTTGAAAAAATTCCCCACATGAGTTATAGATAGTATCTGGTGACATGACACAGTTTTGTCCCTGTTCCATAATAACCAATCATCACCAACACTAATTAAATATATAGTAATCTGTTCAAAATGATAACAGCTTTATTATGTCTGATGTGGGAGTAACATGTTCTAAGTATAGGATAGAAACACAAACTTTTACTACCAACCAAGTCTGTTTTATTTAAACATCAGTGTTTTCCAAACATTTTTTTATAAAGACCTATGTTATTGTAGCCCAATACACACATACACAAATAACTGAATAAAAATGTTCCAAAACACAATCCTCTACATTTTGTGCAATGTCCTCTGATAATTTATATTCTATTTTTTAAAATGCTGATCATGAGCAACTATGTTCTATTTAGGAAACAAGTGATGAAAACTATCAGAGTTCCCCATTATATTTTAGGAAATTCATGTTTCAGTTTCAAATGTACCACTGCACTTACTTGTATAAGGCTCAGTAATCTCTTTGGGGTTTAAAGATGCTGGAAAACAACCACTATTTATCCATATTGTCACAGCTCCAAAGCCAAAAAGTAAAGACTATGTTTAAGAAAGTCCTGGTATCATCAGAACTTTTGCCCTCAGCAGATGAAACCTTTGGGCAGGAATGTTTAACAACAGTGTATTTTAACACTGATTCTTCAGTTCACCATCACTGTCAAGCTTCAAGGAGAATTCAAATCCATAAATCATTTGTCTTTTAAAGAGTTGTCTTCAAAGCCACCTTCTATTTTCTCTTCCTTAATGACTTCTGAAGGTAAGGTGAATGTGTTAGAACACCTAAATAACACACCTATAATCTGCAAAGTGCCCTGAGTGATTCAGTTCTGTGTCATAACATATAACATGGGGACTCTTTCCTTCAAGCTAGAGCCACAAGCTAATTCCAGGAGTTGGGAAATGAATTCTAGCAATGAAATGACCCCTGTCTGCCACATACTAAAAGCACAAAATATAAGACCTGACTGAGAATTCGGGCAAAGTAGAAATAGTTAGAAATAGTTAGATTTTTCTTATTGGATAACCCAAGTCTTCTAAGACTCTGTATGATGCTATAGGTAACTCTGCAATATCTGGAAGGAGAATATCAGCTTTAAAGAGGTTTTCTTGGGGCCTCCCCAGTGGCGCAGCGGTTGAATGCTGGGCTGCAAAGCTGACCGCAGCTTCTGCAGCGCCGGTTCGATCCCCGACAGCTGGTGAGGGTCCCACGTGGTGCGCAAACCTCTCCCGTCTCGCCTGCTGCTCCCCTCAGCAGTGTATACTGTCAGTCTGCCTGTTCTGCTCTCTGCTCTGGCTCTGGTGAATTCTCTCACCCTCCCATGCTTCTGACTGTACCCTATGCTTGTATAAATAAATCTTTAAAAAATAAATAAAGAGGTTTTCTTGGCTTCCTACATTTTGGGGTCATTGACACCTGAAGGAATTTCAAGTTTATGTACAATACTAAATCTTTGTCTCTGAGGGTACTAAGGATAATTTTTCAATAATATAATGTAAAATCTATCTTCCCAAAGGGTTAAAATGGCGATTTTTAAATTAATAATTCACCAAGTTCTAAGAGATTTTGAAGACTAGGTCATAGTAAATGCATTTTTAAAACCTAAATTAAATGTATTTCTTCCCAAAGATGAAATTTAAGACTCTAAAGGGAAATTGCTATTGCCTATAGAAGCAATATCCAATTTTGCACCAGAATTTGTTGTTTAATTAAAATTTTTTAAAAAATTTCCTTAATGACTCTTATTTTATTTATTCTTTAGCTTTATTTTATTTATTCTTTAGTTTATTCTTTAGCTCTTTGAATCCTTAGGTTTTTTTTTTGTATTTCTTTTTTTTTTTAAATTTTATTTTTATATTCCCCATACAATTGCAACCCCCTTATTTTGACCCCAATCCCTCCCCTCCCACCCCCAAACCCCCATAAAGTGTCTCTGGTTCATAGTTTTTGGTTGATTTTGATTTTCACTTTCTTATAGTTATTCATTTTCCTGGTCCCTTATTTAAGTTTTCTAGTTGAATCCTTAGTTTTTGAAGATTATCTTTCCCCTCTTCATCTTACCACTGGAGCAAAATAAAACCTTAATTTAAATCATTCTGTTTGCATATTTGCCTAAACTCATAAGGATACTGTTTGTTTTCACTGGAGTCAAAGTGCTGCCTACTATATATAGTATGTGTTTTCGGATGTGGTATCAGTACAGGCAGCCTTGGGGCTCCACTATTGAGTTTTTGGCCAGAGAAAAAAGGGATACTAATGTTAGGGTTTTAGTTTGGTTGTGTTTCAACACCCACACAAACATACACCTGGCCAAACAACAGCCTTCTCCAAATTTTATTTTCTAATACAGCTGGATAGTATTGACAGTGAAAAAGAAAAAAGTACTAATAGTTATTATTCACTCCCCAAATCTCTTAGTTCTATAAATTTTTGACAGATGATATATTTGTTCTTTATTTTGTTATTATGATAAAAAAAAAAAACAGAGCAAAAACTAAAAAGACCATTTCACCAATTCTGATTTAGTGTATAAGTTCCTAATTTGAGTCTTTAAACTTTTGGGAATTATCATGGACAAAAAAGGAACTGTGGAAACACATCTTTCTTTAGTTTTTCTAATTAATACTCAAATACATGTTCTCCCTACTTGATGGAATTGAAGAAAATTCCCCTTTAAGAATATAACCAAGTAAAAAAAAAAAAAAAAAAAAAAAAGAATATAACCAAGTGAAAAAGGTAAACTATCAGTCACATGAAAATTAGTATTAACAAAGAGACAGGTGTTCCGCTGCAAAGAACAGATCATCTATTTTTTTTTTGTTTTGTTGTGTTTTTTGTGGACCCTCGCTGGCGGCTGGGGAATGAACCGGCGCTGCAGAGGCTGCAGGCAGCTTTGCAGCCCAGTGCTCAACCGCTGCACCACCAGCGGAGGCCCCCAAATCATCTATTGTTTATGAAACATCTGTGATAATTGTTTTCCCTAAACAACCTCAATTTATGACAGTGTGAATTAAAAAGATAAAGGACCACTGAAAGTTAAATGATTCTCTCTTAATTTACCTTCCTCAGTTGACTCTTTTCTAAGCAGAAATGAAACTGTTTCATTTATACACAAGTTTTTTAGGAAATACACATTTTGCCAAAAGAAAAGTTTCCTCTATATTAAGCAGTTCACATGATCAAAAATTATCTTGAACTTTTTCATACTCATAGATTTAAACAATCTTTTTTTTTAAGTTTTTATTTACTTATTTTATAGAGGCATGTTTTATTCATTTATTTGTTTGTTTGTTTGTTTGTTTTGTTTATACATGCACTGGGTACAGTCAGAAGCGTGGGAGGGTGAGAGAAATCACCAGAGCCAGAGCGGGGAGCAGAGCAGGCAGAAGGATCGAAGCACACTGCTGAGGGGAGCAGCTGGCAGCAGGAGAGGTCTGCGTGCCATGTGGAATCCTCCTCCGGTGGCCGGGGAGCAGCCGAGGATCGAACCGGTGCCACAGAGGCTGCGGGCAGCTTCACAACCCAGCCCTCAACTGCTGCACCACTGGGGAGGCCCCAATTTAAACAATCTTACAGTTAGTAAAGGCTTTAACATTGACCAAGGTCAACCTTTGTCAGATACATAATTTACCTCTGAGAAATGGTATCCAGTCTGGTTTGAAAATCTATTCTGAGAATGATAGTTGATTTGGTTAACACACATTAACTTCTTTTGAAAAGTAAAAATCAGTAATATTTTAGAGACAGCACTTTGAATTAATTCAGTGGTACTATTTTTAAATTAGTTGAAACTTTTCTTAGTGTTATTTTCCAACCCCAACCTTAGGTTAGTGGACCATATTTTATTTATTTATTTATTTTAATGTGATATCATCTTTTTTTAAAAAAAAGATTTATTTATGCATACAAGAACTGGGGTACAGGCCAGAGGTGCGGGGGGAGTGAGGATTCACCAGAGATAGAGTGGGGAACAGAACAGGCAGACTGACTGAAATACACTGCTGAGGGGAGCAGTTGGGGAGACAGGAGAGGTCTGCTGCGCCATGTGGGTTGCTCCCTGGCCCGCTGGGGCTCGAACTGGTGCTGCACTGGCTGCAGATAGTTTCACAGTGCTGTGCTTATTAACCCCTTGTGCCACCAGGGAAGCCCTGGCTTCTCATTTTTTTTAAAAAAATATTTAATTATATATTTTTACATAGTTGTTCATTTTTGTACGCTTGATTTCTCCCCTCTGGTGTTGTCCCCCAAGAATTACTACCACCAAGGGCCTCCCTGGTGGGGCAAGAGGTTAAGCATAGCACTGTGAAGCTATCCAAAGACTTTGCAGCATGAGTCCGATCCCCACCCACATGGTGCAGCAGACCTTTCCTGTCTTTCCGCTGCTCCTCTCAGCAGTGTCTTTTGGTCAGTCTGGCTTTTCTGCTCCCCACTCCGTCTCTGGTGAATCCTCACCTCCCGCACCTCTGGCTTGTATCCCAGTTCTTGTATGCATAAATAAATAAATCTTAAAAAAAAAAAAATAACCACCACCAAGACACCCATGAACCATCACCATAGTTTTTTTTTTTTTTTTAAAGATTTATTTATTTATGCATACAAGAACCAGGGTACAGGCCAGAGTTGTAGGGGGTAAGAGAATTCACCAGAGACAGAGTGGGGAACAGAACAGGCTGACTGACTGAAATACACTGCTGAGGGGAGCAGCGGGTGAGTCAGGAGAGGTCTGCTGCGCCATGTGGGTATCTC